TAATCATACAGGAATTTTTTATTGAGATTTAAACATTGTCGCCTGAAGATCGCATTGAGCGTGAAACTCAGAGTTGTGACTATATTTTAAGTTAAGAAATTAAATTATTTGCTCTACGTTATTAAATGGTATTGAGCACTCTTTTACACTGTAAAATTTGATCATCTTTGGTCTCATTAATATTATATATATATATATATATATTTATATATATACTGTATATAGTCTTAAACCATACTTTTTGAATATAGGTAAACAATAACTACCCTGCAACATGCTTCAACTTTTATTATTATTTAGTAGTTTTTCTCTGTCTAAAGCCAGGATCAAACGAGGATCAGATAGTTTGGCAGTCACGCGACCTTGGTTAGCTGTTCTTAATGTTTTTCCAACACTATCATGTATTTTATTTAGGTTAAAGCATAGTTGGAATACTCATCAAGCCTTCATTTTGTTAACCTGGAGCTTGAAATGCCCCCTGTAACAATGTGTGACTGCCAACTCTCATCAACTCTCATTCCCGTTTCACCGGGACTTTACATCAGAGACCTACAGAATGCTATACATTTACTGTTCGGTTTCCAGATTTTCCAAACACTAATGGAATATAACAGAAGACCGTCACATGACTGTTCCGAACTGTCCTAACTATTCCAACTTTAGAGTGCATGAAGACACGGTTGCATGTGTACATTTGTGAGCTTTTGTAAGAAATGCGTGCTTACTCATAGGAGGACAACAATATAGGTCATGTTATTTATTCATATTCATGTGAACAGGTGGGAAATTTGTCGTCGCTGACCAAAAAATCGCGGGCAGAAAGAAAGCTCATTGCATTTAGCCCACATTCAAAACAAAGCAGAAAGTTAGCAAGAAGCTGTTTTAGCTGACGATTTGTTGCTTTCCATTCAACGATTTGCAAATTAACGGTTATTCTTTTAAAAATCGATCATGAATTCCTTCTTTTGGGATGATTTGTTTTGTAATCGAGTGATTGAAGAAGTTAATATGGCGACGTGAACATGGGAGTAAATACCGTATACGTCGATCTGTGGCTTGTTTAATACCGTAAGAAACGAAGAAAGACGCGATATGAGAATGAAATGTAAGTTGAAATTAACTTTATATGCCTCATGTTTTCAATCCTATGTTTCTTAATGTAACTTCAGCTGTCTAAGTTCAAAATACAAGCTCACGAAATTTGACAAATTTTGAAAATATGTAAAAATAGCTTGACTTTGAACTGTATTTTCTCAAAAATAGCCTGTGGCCTCAATTTCAAATATAGCTAAATGAAAAGAAAAAACTTTTCGGCGTTTGTAGGTATCAAACATATCGTCAGGAAAATAGGGGCTCACAATGTTTTAGCTGAGTCTTTGAGACCCAGTTGCTTCGCACGTGTTGTGGTCAAGTTTTTGCCAAGAATCAAAGGCCGAAATGTGAACTTCCTTCATGAAAACCGGCTCGAGAAGGGTCTAGTTTGAAAATTTAGCTATTAATTTCGATTTCATGAGCATATTTTGGGTACACGTTAAATATTTTTGTACTTGATGGAATTCAAAATTTGTTGTATATTCAAGCCCGGCTTTTGTGTAATTTTGGTGATGACCGGAACAGAAATAAAGATATTTTAAAAACTAACCGTGGCCTCACGATAAAACTTTCTACAAATGTTCTCTGTTTCATGTATTTTTATTTGATATCTTAGGTATAAGCGTAAAAATAGGGGCTCATACAGTTTACGAGGTTGTAAAATGCATGACTTGCCTCTATTTTCATGTAAACATTCGAAATTCTTCGACAGCAAAGTAGCAACTGTTTCAGATCGAATGCACACGGACAGACCACCAGAGACAATGGCAGGGTACTGAAATAGAACGTCACTAAAAAATTCTGTATGATTAATTTAGATCATGTCCATTTTCAACATAAAACAGTCATTTATTTCGGTACAAACTTTTGGCAATATTTACACGATTGTGCCTTTTTGTAAACACGCGTTGCGTGTATTCCACTCAATTGCGTGACTCATTTTGCTCGCGCATGCTCAGACAAATTTCCCACCTGTTATTCATGTGTCAAACAGCGGTGGAAAAAATAGCGGACCATGCCACTATTGCATGGTCCCTGAAAATTTCTGTGGTCAGCAGAAAGAAAATATTGGAAAATATCTACATTAAAATCAAATCAACTTCTTGATCAGTGGATACCAATCCAACCGGTGGGATACTGTGCTGGAGTGCAAGCTACTTGAAACCGTAAACCAAGACAATTTTAGCTGATCATAATCAAAACTGTAGCAGTGATTTTGGTTTTATAAATGTTGTTTTATGCACTCGATTATGGCACTCAACTTGACACTTTGTCATGAAGTAATACAGTTAAACAGTCAAAGTTAGGGCAATTGAATTATATCAACCGTCGATATACTGTACCAATAAAGAAACATTTCCATGAATGGTCCTTTGTGGTTCCCAGTATTTTTTCTAACCGGTAGTGTTGATTTTAAGGAATTCAATAAGAAATTGTGTGTAATTACAATATTTACCTTATACAACAACCTTTCTTGTAAATTTTACATGTATCTGATGGTAATATTCTAGACACTAGTGGGACTGTGAAGACAAAGAAAAGAGAAATGAACACGAGTTAAAATTATGTACAATAAATGAGTTAATGTATATGAGTTACATCGAGTGTTAATGAAATTGAACACAACATCCTTGACATTATCTGCATGCATGAGCATTAGTTATCATTTATAGCCCTTACTCCAACTCGAGAAGTCCCACTTTAATTCAACATAAAAATCCCCAAGCTATAAAAAGGATTTAAAGAAAGTACATATTATATATTAGTATAGGTAATAGTATGGTTTCGAGTGCAATTTGGAAAAAACATGCACGAGTGAGTTTTTCAAAGACTACCAATGATAAATATGCATAAAAAATTAACGCTAGCCATTTTTAACTCCTAAATGTTTGTTTTTTGTATTATTTCTGCTGGAAATTGCTGTACCTTATTGGCTATCTTCAGGGCACGGAATAACGGCCGATCAACGATCAGTGATCGGCAGGACATTGGTTTTGATCGGCAGAGAAGCAAGGTTGCCGACCATTTTGATCGGCAAGAACCATTGTCTCAAAAACACGGTTAATGTCGTTAACGAACACCATGCAATACTACGGCATCATCACAGAACATATAAACAGACCATATCCTATACTGATCGGCTAGATTTTCATTTGATCAGCAGAAAATCATGACTACTGATCATTATGATCGGGAACATTGGCAACGTTCTTTCGAGCCCTGATCTTTGTTATTGTTTCATATTTTAAGCCAATCAGAAAGCCTAAATAATCAATGAAATTTGCACTGTATTTCATTTTTAAGGATTTGCGAAGCAAAATCCTTTATAAGTTCTTTGTATGTTTGCATGGCGATAAAACATATAACAGTTTTGTTTGTGGAAACACCACGTAAATTTATTACTGCAAAGCTTTCGATCCGTAAGCCCGGATCTTCATCAGTGCTAATAATATGTCATGTGCTAATAATATATAAAAATCCTTTATGTCATCGGGTGTGTAAGATAGATAGATAGATAGATAGATAGATAGATAGATAGATAGATAGATAGATAGATAGATAGATAGATAGATAGATAGATAGATAGATAGATAGATAGATAGATAGTAACACATTATTGACGTTGAGTTCCGAGTCGGGTATTCGTAAACCGCCGGAAGCTATTATCCGCCACTTGTGTTTGTCGTTATTCGCAATCTTTCGGGCAAAAACCCCGTTCATTTTCGTAGAATACACCAATGACTAAACGTTGTACCTCTTGCATTATAAAATCGACAACCAAATTGCAAATCCTTACGCACTCCTTGAGTGCCTATTTTTTGACACTGTATTTCGAAAAAATTGCACTGCTCTTAGCCAATCAGAATTGAGATTTTTTTCATGTATCTTATTATAATTCTGTGATAAAGCAAAACGTGGCTATATTCAAAGCTGAACATGACTTTCATAAAATTGATACAAAGTTTTCTGTAGAAAACGTTTCCTGCTCAGTAAGTCAGACTAACTGAAATATTTCAGTAATATAGTTATTACTAATTTCAAAGTAATAACTATATTTTCATTCATAGTCGTACGGGAGGAAAAAAGTAGTGGGGGGGGACAAAAATATACCCGATGTTGAATGAAATTGCCTGACAAATACAAAAATATTTAAGTAGAATCTGGCCCACTGAAAAAATTATTGGGGTGCAGCCCCCAGTATGTAGTTAATGCTCAATTTTCATGTTCAATTCAATCTTTTATGATTGCCAGTGACAGTAATTATTTTTGAAAAGTAAAAAATATGATCCCGGCCAGTCTGTATGTGAAGAAATATAGACATTTAATTCTCACAAAGTGGGTAATTCATTTAGATTAAAGACAGAAATGCGACGATGACGGGGAACAGGATGCGAAAATGTCGTTGTCTGCCAGCATACTGCACATGAAGAATATTATGCAGATGGCACAAACAGACACGCCATTTTCAGTCCTTCTCGTGTTGCCATCCATAATCTAAATCTTCCTAATACTGTAGTTCCTTACAGCAATCCGAGGACATGTGCTTTGAATTTTTTGAGGAAATAATTATAACAATTTATAGTTTCAAGCCCAACAAGTGCCTACCACTTTCAAAGCAATACAAAAGTATAGTAGGCACAATACTTTAAATACCATGCATGAACAGATTATACTATATTAAATATTACAATACAATTTATTTTGAATAATATACCCCACGCAAAGCTTCGATTAATTCAGGTCGACTCTTGTCCACATTATGCTGATTTTGCTCTTTCATTTTTCTTAGCACAGCTTTAACTACAAAAAACCAAATGATTTTCTCAAACCCAGAGCAAAATTGAGCAAACCGTGGTCTAATTAGTGACTGGTGGTCTAACACATGAATGGACAAGTTGCATGTAGTTAGACTAAATTTAATCTAAGTAAAGAGAAGGGAATCAAACACCACAGCTAAAAGAACATAATTAAATTAGTAAAATTGCAAAATTTGGTTACGAAAAGATATAAAACTTGGAAAATATAGCCTTGCAAAGTTTCAAAATTTTGTATATATTTGTATTACGTGTGGAAATTGTTACCGTTTTCGGCTCAAAAATGGTAACAATTTCCGCACGTAATACAAACATATACAAAATATGCAAACTTCGCAAGGCTATATTTTCCGTAAGTTACAACATTTCGTAACCACATTTTGCAATTTTACTAATTTTAATAAGTTCTTTACGGGAATTTACTTTTCTTTGCCTAGATCAAAAATTAGTCTAACATGGAAGTTGTCTATTGATTGGACTGATCTCGAACCGTCGGTGCCATGCAGTGTAGGCAGAGGCAATAACAGACAGCTGCAGTGTTGCAGAACTTCAACGTATCGAACGATTGGGAAGTTAGTTAAGTCACTATATGGATTGATATACTGCTGGTTGATCACTATCTGTTGCACAATATAGTGCTTATGTTGCACAATATAGTGCTTATGTGCATATTCACTACCAAATTTCAAATTAGTTTCATACCAATTGATCTACTTCCCCAGCTAATAGCTTCTGCAAGTGGACTCCATCCTGCTTCATTTTTCACCTTGACTGGAGCATTTTTCTCAAGAAGTAGGAACACACATTCTAAGTTGAAGAAACAAAACTATATAGCAGTTGCGGGCACCTCGCAAAATACTGGGGAGGGGGGATTTAGGTTGCCACCATATAATTACCTTTTGTTGCTAGAAATCGTACTTCTGTACATCTTTTGCCGTAAATTCAGGCAGTATATATAGCTTCATTTATAGCTTACCAATAATGCTTTCATGAAAAATTATTGTTACAGTTTTGTTACACAGTTATTCAGCTATCAATCAAAGGCTTTCAGAAATCATTGGGAGTTGCCCCTTGGTCGCCCTAATGTCCACCACTACAGCGAAATCAATAAATGCGTATATTACTTTTAAGTTAAGCACAACTTACCCTTGTGGCCAAGCATGATTGCCAGGTGTAAAGGAGTATTTCCTGAAATGGCAAGTCAAAAACGTGTATAGAATTTAATAATGTAGGAGAGGTTTCACAATTTCGTCTTCAAAGGCAGTCACATTCTCGTACCCAGAGCCCTTCTTACGCGCGGTGTGACGAGGTGCTCTGGCCAAATCCATAACCGGATACCATAAAAACATGGCAAGAAAACAATATCCGGTGTTAGAACTAGCCAATCAGTAATGTCAGCAAGAGTAGGTCCAAATGCCCATAGATATTTGTCTGTATAGTGGACCGTTAATTGAGAAGTGCGTTTTAGTGCAGGAGTCTATAAAAGTAATATTTTAAGTGTTCGTTTGTCTTTATAGATTCTGTTCAAGGTTAGATTGATAGTTTCGCGCAAAGGAATGTCAGTAAAGAGAGATGTGACGTCAAAAGACACAAACCTGTAACGTTGTAAAAATAAGTGTGAAGGAATGCTATGAATACATGTTACTGCGTCACAGTTATTTTTACAAGGTTACAGGTTTGTATCTTTTGACGTCACATCTCTCTTTACTAACATTCCTTTGCGCAAAACTGTCAATATAATCTTGAACAGGATCTATAAAGACAACCGAATTACTACCTCACTTAGAAAACGAAAACTTAAAAAATTACTTTTATAGAATCCTGCATTAAAATACCTTTTTCAATTAACGGTCAACTATATTAGATGGATTTAGAGCTGTGCGGGATTTAGACCTGTGGGCCCAGTGTAGGCTCCCCAGGGTAAGATTTAGGTCACTCAGGATAAAGTTATGGCCCAGTCTGAACCACTAACTAGTGGGCCAATTGGCCCCAGAGTATATATGTTAGTAATAATAATAGGTGTGTTTATTGACAACATTATTCACGCTAAAGTATAGCGAATTACAAAAGTTAAAAAGAAATTTACCAAAGTTCCAAGACTTTAAAAACAAACTATAAAACATAGCTCATGCACTGGGACTGGTTTACAATTATTGATAAAAAGATACTATAGATTACAGATATACCTGTACGAATGCAATTAAATTACACGCAACTATTTAGATTTGTTATTAAACAATTTAATGGTACCAGGAATAAAACTTCGATGGAGACTTTCAGTTCGACAACGGGGTAATGTTAATAAATTAGGATTTCTTAAATTATACCCATGAGCATTGGCTCTAGTTCTCGGCATACATGCCTCGAAAATAGTTCTCGGTACATGCCTTGAAGAGTAATAAAGTAGAAGTAGAAGAGGCCCACCTATAGCTATTTTATTTAAGGTTTTTAAATATAACTCCTCTCCTTTCTTTCAAAGTTTTACAGTTATGCAATTTAATAATTTTGTTTGTGGAAACACCACGTAAATTTATTATCACAGTTATACAATTTTTTAGATTATTTAGAGCATCCGCATAATGCAACCCAGGTCAGGGTTCGTACGGGTCCTGGAAAGTCATGGAATTTCAATATTCCAAAATCCAGGCCTGGAAATCCTGGAAAATCAATTTTAGTCATGGAAAATTGAAATTTTACATAACAATAACAAAGTATTTTACTTATTTCAATTTACCAGTCATAACAATAATATGAATTGTTGTTATATAACGGATTTTTGCAAGAGCGAAGTTAATTTTGTTCTTTTATTATATCTGTTATCGTTAAAATATGATTTTATCCTGAAAGCACGTTTCTGGACACGTTCAACCTCTTCAGATAAGTACTCAGGGATGGCATGGTGCCATACTACGCAGCAATATTCTAGGACAGATCGTACAATAGCTTGCGCAGGGAGACCACCGCAACGCAATACTCGTAATATATGTAGACGTTTTAAGGTGTTGACGTCGATGTTGACGATTAAACGAAGTTTATTACTGTGAGCCATTTTGTTTGTTTTATTTCGCGCGCTTTTGGGTTTGAGTTGTTGGCCGCGCCTGGACTTGGGCACGACAGCGTCCAATAATTTATTTTTTTTGGAAGCCAGTTCGATAAAAAAAAAACTATCATTGGACGCTGGACGCTGGGCACGTCAGCAGCTGAAATTAAGTAATAAGTACCGAATATTGAGAATTATCGGGTGCTCTCTGACCAATCAGGAACGAAAATACATACTAAATGTATAATAATAGCATTTATTTGTTCATTCTCAACATTACCTCTTGCGAAGGAATTCTTAAATCGTTTATCATTATCAGAAACAAAATCGGTCCTAACTTTATTTCTCGTGGGACACCCGCATTAACAGGCAACCACCGTGATATTGGTCGTTCTATATAGTTTTACACACCGACGACGATTTGATAGAAGTTAAGAATCCAGGTGAGCCTTGACCTGATGCCTTGACAGGATGCCTTGACCTGGACACCTAAATGGAGAGAGGATTAACTACAGTAGGAATGTCACCATCAAATCGCACAAAGCCTCTGTGATGTCTTCTATCTTTCACTGGTATCCGGTTGAGTTTCTTCGGAGTGGAAATCAGCAAATGTCACGCCCATACATAAGAAGAAACAGAAAGAACCGGGGGAAAATTATCGCCCAATCTCACTCCTGCCCATTATTAACAAAGTCTTGGAACGCTGCGTGTATAACAGACTTTATCAGCACGTCCTGCATCTCATTTGTCCACATCAACGTGGCTTTCTTAGAGACCGGTCTTGCGTTACAGAGCTTCTCTCGTCACTTCATTCTATTAGACAAAAAATTATAAGAACACACAAACTGATATTCTATACCTTGATTTTGCTAAAGCTTTCGACTCTGTGGATCACTCTATTCTTCTCAGAAAACGTAAAGCCTATGGAGTGTCAGGTAGACTTCTTGATTGGTTCTCTGATTAATTAAATAACTGTCGACAAAGAGTGGTAGTGGATGGCGTCGCATCACAATGGACACTTGTTTCGTCTGGAGTGCCTCAAGGTCGTATCCTAGGACCAATGCTGTTTGTCATCTTCATTAATGATGTTCCCAAAGTGGTAGAAAATGGAACAATGTCAGCCTTATTCGCAGATGACACAGAGGTTTATAGAACAATAACATCGATTAGTGATTGTGCCCAGCTGCAGCAAGCTTTAACCAATTACCTAGATTTTTGGAGCAGTGACAACAACATGCTCACATTCAACGTATCAAAATGCAAAGTTTTATCCGTCACGCGCAAGAAAACCCCGATTTCCTATGTTCACTGCCTAGGTTCGGAACAGTTGCCGGAAGTTGAGGAGGAGAAAGATCACGGAGTCACCCTATCCAGTAAACTATTGTGGAACTTCCATGTGAATGAAAATAACGTCGAAAGCCAACAAACTGCTTGGATTGCTCAAACCATCTTTAACGGATACCAAAGTCAGGCGTTCTCTTTACCTTTCCATCGTAAAATCGCAGTTATGTTACACAACGCAAGTATGGTCTCCATTTCACAACAGAAAACTGAGTGAAGAGATTGAGAGTGTTCAAAGGAGAGCCACTGGGTGAATTTTAAAAACCAAGACTGGCGAGATGTCTTACACACAACGACTGCTGGTGTTACGACAGAGAAATCAAGGATATTGTTCTCTTCTTCAAAGTCTTGTACGGTTACGTTGACCTTAACATTAACGATTATGTTTCTTTTGTTGATCATGGCCGTACTAGACTCAGTCAGATCTCTAGTGTTATCCTCCAAACACCTTTGTGTAATACCACTACATTTGAAACATCGTATTTTAACCGTATAGTTAAACCATGGAATATTGTGCGTGAAGCTCGGTTAATCCTGATACTTTTTCCAGTCCTACTGTATCTCTTTTATAAACTTTCTTAAACTCAAGTACTCTCATCTTGTTCACACAGTCTACGATGTTGAATTACCCGTTGTGTATGTGTGTCTGTCTGTAGATCTCTCCGTATGTGTGTCTGTCGACACGTCTTTCATTCTTTCTCTCTTTGTTCTATCTTCTCTCTCATCCACTCCTTCATCTCACAGTAATTTTGGTAACATACATATTAATATTTAATTATTTTTTATAATTTGCAACTTTGCTGGCAGGTGCCTTGCATGGGTCCAAATTCTAGAGTCCTGTTCGTACCTTGCCATTTTGGATCACTCGCTAATATTTTTTTTCTTTGTACAAATCTAAAAATTTGTATAGTTTGTTGTTTTCTTTCTACATAGTGAACGTATATTGTAATAATTTGATCCGAATAAATTTGTTAAATTAACTTGCAATTTCCACATTTCCCATATGTTATTCAGGATCTACAAAGGAAAACTGTTCGTTCTATATTCTTAAAATGCATCATGACAAGGGTGAATTAATCCGTCAAATCATCTTGAAAGATTTAGATACTGTAATTTGTCTAGTAAACCTTGCAATGGCAATGCACCCTGATGGGCCCTACTTTATTATTTTATTCTGTCTATCACCAGATTTTACTCATCACGGAGAGAGTGCTGCCATTCAGTGGGTTAATCTGCCCGTGCATCCTGTTAACCCTTTTTTTTTTAACCTACAGTTTTTGAAATATGACAAAATCGTGATTTAGACTTAATTTTTTGAAGAGAGGTTTCTTGTTAGAAGACAAAAATTGTACCACATATATTGAGCAATCTTCTAACAGTTGAAAATTGTTCAAAAAAAGTGACGTCATTATCGTTGCTATGGTAACAATGACTTTTCAATATGGCCGACATTTTACCTTTTAACACATTTTAGTCGAAAAAAAGGCTGGTTAGCCCATTTTTTATTTCGTGAAACGTTCTCATTTAGAAAAATGAATGATATGAACAAATTTAAAAAAATTCTGCAGATCAGTATTTTTAAAAAATTAAGAAACGTCATTTTTCGTGATAAATATTTTTTGGATCTACAGAATTTTTTTAAACTTGTTCACATCATTCATTTTTCTGAATGAAAACGTTTCACGAAATAAAAAATGGGCATAACCGGCCTTTTTTCCAAGTAAAATGGGTTAAAAGGTAAAATGTCGGCCATATTGAAACGTCATTGTTACCATAGCAACGGTTATGACGTCATTTTTGTGAACAATTTTCAACTCTTAGAAGATTGCTCAATATATGTGGTACAAGTTTTGTCTTCTAACAGGAAACCTCTCTTCAAAAAATTAAATCTAAATCACGATTTTGTCATATTTCAAAAACTGAGCGCCCTACTTTATTATTTTACTCCAGATGTCTAACGCCAGACAATTGAGAGTGCTGCCATTCAAATGAAAACTTTGATACGTGTATCAATAAATGATAGCTAGAGAAACAAAGAATCAATCTTTTACTGAATTATTGGTAGGGGTGCACTGGAACCAATGTTAAAAGTTCCAGCCGGAACCGGATCTGGTGATATATAGTCATATGTTACTTTGACTACTGCCAGAGAGTCAGACACTTTCAGTCATCAAGGAGAGAGCATGCAAATGGCAGAATAAAAAGATTGACTATTGTTAAACGTCATAAGTGTTAATAGTGTACATTTTTCTTGTGTAGTCCAAATTTCTTCTTATGCTATTCAATAAATAAACTATATATGCTATCTCTCTGAAAACGACAAAGTTCGGATTCCAGCCATGTTTTTTTTTATTAGTTCCTGCTAGAACCGGAACTCTGAAAAATCGGGGTTCCGGCCGGTTAGTTCTCACTGGTGCACCCCTACTTATTGGTCTGAATCAATCTTTGGTCTGAATTATTCTAGCAACCATCTATGTAGCAACAGATGATCCATCAGCCAGGTGACCTCGAAACTCGGCAAAGGCCTGGCACTAGTTGTAAAATAGAAATCCATTTCTGATTTAAAATAACTCAATATCTCATTAATGGTATTAGATTTCTCTCTCAAACTTGTCCCAGATATTCATTTCCCTGTGCGAGACAGAGACACAAAGTTTCAAGCAGTTTCACAAAAGAATCAGGGCGTGACAAGTGATTAAAGGTACGAAAATGGATTTCTATTCTATTGCTAGTTCCAGTCCTTTTGCCCACCGTCAGATCACCTGGAGTGGATGAACTTGGGCAATGAATAGATGGTTTGTCTGGGCACATAGTTTGCCTTGATTGATAATCTATGTGTATATGGACTAGTGCAGAATTTAACAGTGAACCTCTCTCCTTAGACTGCAGAGACATTTATGGTTTCAGTTTACAGTATTTGTGTTATACTGTAGTTTACAGTGTCTATATATGTTTTCCATTTTTGGCAATGGTAACATCACACATGGTCAACACAGCCTCCTAGCTAAGACTCTGGGGGGAATTATTGTATCAGACTTTTAATTTATAAAACAAGGGAAGATCAATCCCAAACCAAATTATAATGATATAACGCCTGAAAAATTTTAAAGATGTACTGCCTCGGCTGAGATTTGAATCTGTGCCATGAAAATACAAGGTAAATGCTGTTACCACTATGCCACTGGCATAGCAAAAAAATGAAATACAAACGTTGAGTTAGACAATGGCTAGTTGGGGATGTGATAAGATGGGGATGCAATCGAAAGGATGAATAATTTCAGGCAGGGGGTTTTAATGTATCTAGTTCATCTAGTATTTACAGAGGGATGATCTGCCAGATAGATTATGTGACTCCTGTATTATCAATCAGGCCAACAAACAATACAATTTAATGATATAACAATACAAATATCTTTTGCCTGGTAGAACATCATACAAATAAATTGTCTAGTCCGTCCATACTTTTTTAAGTCACAAATTATTTTTCATATTGGAAAATATTGGGGTTTTTGTTGTCATACTGTGAAATGACATCAAAAGACACTTAAACATACATGAGCATTGTACACTTGATGGGAACACGACGTGGCAAATAAGGCGTGAACAACAAAAACATGCTCAACATTCAAGATATTTTAATTTAAAATATTGATACAATAAAATTGACCGGAAAAGGAATGATTTTAGATTCAAATATCGAGCACTAAAAAGTATCGACAAGTATATGTACTAGCTGTTACTACTGTAATTGTATTAAGTTTACGAATACTGATAAAATCACCGTTAATAATTTTATAAGCGACTTCTGTCTAATATGAAAAGCCAATTTAAATATATAAACATAAACATTGTCCGGGCTGCGTTCTGTATTATAGGAAGTTAAAATGAAACTTACCGTGGCAGTCCTTTTGACCAATATCATGATCTCGTAAAAGACTTGAAACCTTTCTAAGATTGCCTTCAAAAACAGCTCTATGTAGAGGATATCGGTCGCATGCACTGATAGTTTCAGTCATATCTACTCCTGTTTTCGTGTTGCTTCTTGTGTTCTTGTTGACCTTTCCACCGGCGTTTTCTTCAGTGCTTCCACATTGCAAAATTTCCTTTGAAAACAGTAGATTTCCGCGTTACTCCGTGAGGAAAGAAAAGGAAAACGTGAGGGGAGAGACACGGGGGGGGGGGGTTAATAGAGAGTATTTATTGATCTCACCAAAAGGCAGCATGGAACGATTGTGCGGTAACTAATTTAACAAGAAATTCCAACCCAATTGATAAATCTCAACAGCTAGCACACATAGAAAAGAACTTAATTAATAGAGGTGCTGCGGTATTTTGTGCTGCGGTGTTTAGTAAATAGTCTTCCTTTAAAAATGTGCGGGGCAGATTAATTGGGAAAGGATGTGAAAGGACTTTGTGCGCAGCACACTAGCACGCCATCACTCTCCTCCGCAGAGTCTTCCGGTATCCCTATTACTACCTCCTCTGAAGTTACATCACACCACGCTGGAGCGTTTTGAAAACGGCGCAGAAAAGTCGGCACATTAGAAATGCTTTCGTCACATAATTTTCAAACAATGAACTGTTGACCCAAAAGCATCCCACAATGCACTGTGCATTTCAGAAATCCTCTGCCGAGTTAAAAATTGCGTGACGTGAGCACTTAGCCCGTTAGCCGTATACACTTGCGTAGATTTTCCCCTTACACTTCAAGCCATCAAAGCTCATCTTAAAATTTCACAAACTAAATGAAAAGTTTCCTTCGAAGTGGAATTCAATGACTCGAACTCGATTCAAAGTCCCGGGTACGAGACATTGTTACTATGGTTACAGTATGTAAACAATAACAGGCTGTATAATTATATTAAATGTTTGTCGATTTATTCGTTTGTATTTTACTTTAGATAATTTAATAATTTAGCTTTCTTGATATATAGAAAACATGAGATCTCGAGCACATATGTTACTTGAAAAAGAATACATGAAATTACAAAAAGAAGCAATTTGGGTGAGTTAAAAATTAAAATATTTGTCTTCTCGCCATGCTGAAATGTATATTATTTGTATCAATCTCACAGTCCGGGACTCTGGAGTTACGAGTGCTCGAGTGTGCTAGATAGTTTAGTACGTTTTCTTCTATAAGGTTGTGTACTTGTGTTTATTTAATTGATGATTCTACTTTCAATTTTGGAATGTTTGAATGTTGAAAGTATTTTATAAGGTCCATGTTCATTGGATGTTTACATATATTCGAGGGTTTCCCCAGAGTGAAAGGGGAAATCCATTTAGTAAGTTGATTAATTTAAGGTGCAACAAAAATGTTCAATTCAGAAGAAAATTCTTGAATTACAGTAGTTCTGCTTTTTTGTGTATAAAGCAGATCAGCTAGGCCTAGAAAGAGATGGATTTTTCAGTTTTTTCCCGCTTTTCTTAGGGCCTGTTTATATGAGCCTGGTTTGCGAGGAAGCTCGCTTCAGAGGGATGAATTATTTTTGTGTTTATATAACTGTTCTTATCCCACCATAACTGTTCCTAGCCCAATGGGGCGACATTAGGTAACTTAAGATCTATGATGTTGATGTTGTCAGGGCTGAACAGAGGGCTGGGCCTAGGACATTGTCCTAAATAAATAAACATCCACTTAAGATTCATGATGTCGACCTTCAATGGCGCCGTGGCCAGGGGCGCCATGCCCCCCCCCCTATTGTTTGGACCCCGTCGGAAAATTATCAATGTTGTCGGAATCTTCTAAGTGGTGAAGCATTGGAAAAAGTGCTACGGAAATTGGGAAAGGTGCTACAAAAGCAATTGTAATGTTATTGTCTGGAAAAATATTTTACCAAAAAAGTTGTCGACGGAGAGGGGGGGGGGCAAGTTTTAAAATGTTGTTGTCTGGAAAATTTTTTCCTCATTGGCGTTTGTCGGAAAAGTACTGAAAGTACTGCCCTTGCCCCCCCCAAAAAAACATGGGACCCACCGCACCACTGTCCACCTTTAATCTATAAATATTTACATCCTTTTGGAAATGCATTTTTGAAGAAACGTGTATATCCACAACAGCAAAACTCTTGTTGTGAGGTTTTCGATGTTTGGTGGATGACTAGCAATTGAGAGAGATGCATGTACACTTAAAAAATATATTGCCAATTTTTTTCTACTTGCCGTCCTATATATTTGACGTTGTAGGTCAAACTAGAATGAGAGTTAACGGGAGTTGATGAAACTCGTTCACGTTCGACCACCAACAAAGTTTATTATTTTACTCATCAAGGGGAGAGTGACAGTGCACTCAATGGGTGAAAGTTAAATTTCACAAATACAAAAACTCCAATATACTTCTATTTGAGTAATTGAGTATGGCAGTTGTTAGAAGCTATATGAAATATCCAGTATTTTAATTAGGTACCATCTGAGACATCAACGACATGCCAGAATACGTAGGACAGGGCTCGAGTATTGCATTAATGGCGGATGACTCTAAACTATATAGGCCCATAAACTCGGCATCTCGCCATCTGTTGCAACCGGACCTTTCAGGCCTTCATAATTGGAGTAATGACTGGGGCATGACATTCAATCCATAGAAGTGCAAAGTGATGCACATGTCTCGGAAAAAGCTCTGCCTCACTCCGGCCAATACCACCTGAACGACAAGCCCCTGGAAAGTGTGACACACATCTCTGACCTGGGTGTCATCGTATCTAACGACCTCTCCTGGGCTAATCATATTGAAGACATACGCACCAAGGCCAATAAAACTCTTGGTCTAATTAAGCGGGTGTGTGCTAGAGACGTTGTGGATGCCAATACGCGGAAGCTTCTCTATTGTGCTGTTGTACGACCTAAGCTTGAGTACGCGTCGTGTGTGACTGTGTGTGGTCACCTTACTCGGCTAAACAGCGTAAATTAATAGAGAACGTTCAACGCAGAGCAACGAAATTCATTCTGAACTACCCTCCTCATGATGTTACCTACAGAGACAGACTAATATCCTTAAACTTTCTCCCACTTGAACACAGGCGTGAACTTTATGACCTAACACTATTATACAAAATCAAATACAACCTTATTAATGTCACCTTTAACCAATACCTTACACCTGCAACTAACCCCTATGCCACACGGCAACTTCGACCCTAACAACTATAACAAAACGTCTCCAATAATCAAGAATTTTTCCGACAATCCTATTTCCCACGCACCGTCATCCTCTGGAACAATCTACCACCGAACATCAAAACCGCCCATTCCCTACAGATCTTCATTCAAGCATCATCTACACTCCTATTACAAAGCCAAACTGTCTACCTACATACCACCATAGATAATTATGCTCTAAAATTCGTTGTACGGTATCCTATATGTTAAGTTGCACGTGATCTGCGATATGTACATGCATATTGTCTTAGTACGTCTCGTTATCATTAATTGTTAAGAGGTCGAATATCAATTGGAATTTAGTTTCTGTTTTCTTCCCCTATCACAGCATTTTCTAGTTATTGTTATATCACTATGTAAATGTATATCTTTTATGTGTGTGACAAATGAATAAATAAAATCAAATCAAATCTGAGTTCATTTCAATTGTGGCATTCGTAAAATATCCTTAATTTTGCGCCATTGCCTTGTACAATAATATGATTTTAAAATATGTTATGATCTGAATATAGGGTATATTTGCTCAACCGTTGAATGATGACGATTTCTTTCTTTGGGAAGCAAAAATAAATGGCTTAAAAGATACATTATGGGAAGGTAAAGCTTTTATCATATAGCTATTAAAATTGCTACCCAATGCTTTCAAATATTAACTTATTAACCGAGCGCGAGGTCTGTACAGAGAAATATCGGACCTAGGTCTTTTTTTTACAGATCGAGCCCGTAGGGTGAGATTTGTACAAAAAGACAGAGGTCCGATATTTCTCTGTATATACCAAGCAAGAGAGGTCAATAAACAGTTTATTATATGGCATTTATACTTGAAACAAACAAGAAATGCATGATTTGAAATGCATGTTAGTAGCGTGGCACACATTTGGTCGAAGAAAACAAAAAATACCAATGTATTCCTTCTTTTCCACTAAAAACCATTCGCAGATATCTTATTAACAACAAATTAAATTATAATTTTCAAATTTTCATTTAGTTTTGCTGTTTTGTTTTAAAATGCATGCGTTTGTTTAGTTATACGTAATGGCCCCTGAAAGTGCTTCTCAGCCAATTATGGTTCGCCATTTCACCGGAATTGATGCTTGCCATATAATAAAAATTTTTAATAATAAAATGATTCATTTATAATTAAAATCAATCCGTTCATTCTTTGCAAAAGCAGTACTAATTAGGCCAAGTAAAAAAAGACGTGGTTGGCGTCTCCGCCCGACCGGTGAAAAATCTCCTGACCCAACTTTTTTTTATTTTTTATTTCATATATAAATACTTAGAAATCTTCTATTCCGAACGAATTTGTCCACTTTTATATAAATAAATGAAAGTTCTGAAATTAAATTTGTCATGAACTTTGTTTGTGTTATTACTGTATACTGTACGTTGTGTTGTAAATGAACTTTGTTTGTTTGGGCTAGCCTCCAAAGGTCGTAGGTTCGATTCCCACCGCGTGGCCAGGCATATTTTTCAAGCTTGCCCGGTGTGGATGTACACTTAGAGTAACATCACAAGCATCATATTCACCTGAGTACATTACACCAACACAGAAAAAAATTCATGATTACTAGATTACATCGATATCGAAGGAACTAGACTCAGTTCTGAAATGTCACATACTCGAACCGACCTGACCGCGTAGCTCAGTTGGCAGAGCATTTGGCTAGTATTCCAAAGGTCGTAGGTTCCATTCCCACCGTGGCCAGGCATATTTTTCAAGCTTGCCCGGTGTGGATATACACTCAGAGTAACATCACAAGCATTAAATGAACTTTGTTTGTGGTATTACTGAATACTGTTGCGTTTAAATGTTAACATTTTGTATTTATAAATAGTCTCTACTATTGACGTTATATATTTTTATAAAAACACCTTCCCCCTACCCTAAAAATATAAGCGGCCGGTTACAGACGAACAAGGTTTCTATGACAAGGTTTTATGTGGCAAGGTTTATTTGCTCGTTTGTACGCGCAACTTTGGCAAGTTTTTCTATGACAAGTGCACTTGTTCAAAAGCTAGCATGCTAGTTTTGAACAAGTACACTTGTATAATAGTTTTGTTTGTGGAAACACCACGTAAATTTATTACTGCAAAGCTTTCGTCATAGAATTGTCAAAGTACAAATTTTGTTCGTCTGTATGGGTCAACAAAGAAAACTTGTCAAAGTAATCTGAGCATTTGATGTGATTGGCCAGCGCTAGCGCTGTACTATTACATTGCTGGCGACTAATAAATTGTCAAAGTAAACTTGTTGACACGTTCACACCAGTAAATAAAACTTGTCATATGAAAACTTGTCATATAAAATTTGTTGCATATATACACACGTGCGCTTGGCAAATAAAACTTGTCACATAAAAACTTGTCATAGAAAACTTGTTCGTCTGTAACCGGCTTTAGGTCCCGTTCACACGGGGCTGGGTCATCGGAAATACTTCCGTTACTACAATTCATCTGGTTCGGTGTGAACACTTTTCGTCTCGTAATTAATCCGGTTCCGTGTGAACATGTAGAACTTGACGAATTTGAGTACAATTCCGAATTCATCCGCCCCGTGTCCATGTGAACGTAGACTTAAAGTTCGATCCGATTCCGCCGCGGGAGTGCCTTTCCGGGGAACTCCTGCAGGAAATAGCGTATATTATATTATATTCAAATAGAGAATATTTAATATTTAGTAATTATTATTATTAATACTGATTCACAAATCATTCTCTATTCCAGGAGGAATATTCAAGTTGTACTTGAAATTTTCTGAGTCACATAACATGTCTCCTCCTGTGGTATTCTTCACCACAATACCTTACCATCCTAACGGTAAGAGAAAAAAATAACTGGCCTGTTTTTTAACTTAGTTTAACTAGACACTGGCAGATAGTCTGATTAACCCAATGAGCGCCATCTCCCCTTGATGAGTAAAATCGTCTGGTTTTTGATGGAGTAAAATAGTAAAGCAGGGCGCGGCAATTTATTTAGTTCAATATGTGTTCACCACTTTGAGGTAGACAGAATGTCTTAACAGGTCAGTTTACAAGCGAATCGACTAAGTCTCGAGGGTTGGCTATGATTAATAGCTATAGGTTATAGTTTCTAGTGAGGAACTAAGGAAGGTAAACTAAGGACCCAGAAAAAAAACTCGAACCACCAGAAATACCAACCAAACTCTACTTACAACTCTGCAACTAAAGTTTCACCAGACATTTCTATACCGAACAAATTTCTGTAGCATCAAGGAATCACTAACAGTATCACATTAAATGTTCCACGAGTAAATTAACACACTAACTTTCCAAAACAGTTTTTTATAACAAAACTCCTACAGTCTTTAATTCCCTATCACCACATATCCGTGAGCCAAGCGTTACCGTTTTAAATCCTATACTTGTCGATTTATTACTGAATCATGAGGAACAAACATTCGATATTAATTATGTCCCACAAACGTTTAAAGGCGTCTGTGTTAAATGTCGTTCGTTGTCAAATCTTGTGAATCTGTAAATGGAATAAGAGGAGAGGGGGAGCGCGCTAACCAGTGATGGACACTTTACAAAATAATGCGTAAGGGGCATTTAGGTCGCCACCTTTTGTTGCTGGAATTCTTGGTTCTTTTTTAAATTTCATGCAATGTAAGGCTTGCTTCATAGCCTACTAACGCTTTCATGGTTGAATAATTATATTTACACTTTGTTACACAGTTATTCAGCTATCTTTCACAGACATTCAGAAGTTATTGGGGAGCGGTTGCCCTTAACATCCCCCGCATCTTCCACCCTCTTAACTTGAATCTCGGCACAGTTTAAACGAAAATCATTAATTTTCTCTCTCTGCTCTTACCCTTCCTTTCCTACAGTATCAGCACAATTCTTTTATGATACTCTCAAAGAAACAACAGTCAGTTAAATATTTCTAACTTCTCTAGTTCATAGTTCCACTGGCAAACCCTGTGTTGATTTTTTGGATAATGTAGAAGATTGGAAAGAATGTTATAGCGTAGCTTACATTTTGCTCAGTATACAGGTACTATGTAAACCTTTTTTAATTGCTATATTTAATCCTTTTCCATCTTCACAAACGCACATCATGCCATTAAACCACATATTATTTATATCTGTGAAATCGTCATATCAATTTAATAGCTGAGTTTTTACATAATATTCAACGAGGTGACGTCATAACGTTGAATATAAAAAATCCTATTCAATGGAGTGACGTCATAACGTTGAGTATGAAAAAATCATATTCAACGTTATGACGTCATGTTGTGGAAAAACGTACACGAACGACAAACCAATATGGCGCCGCCTTCGGCTAAGTTTGCAAGTTTAGAGGAAACAACTTTTAAACTATAAAGTATCAACGAAAAAGAGCGACAAAAGGTTTTGAAACATCTCACTTGTAAAAAAAGGAAAGATTTTTGCAAATGGAAAAAGGAACTGGTCATTATTTCGACGAATTGAACTCCCAACTGCGGATCATCTTTTAAATAAATAATAAAACAATTTTATTGAATTCGGTTTTCGCCAGATATGAAGAATTATCAAGCCGTCAGTTTGTGTTATCAACCTCAGGCTTCGATTTCGGCTGATAACACAAACTTTAATTTGGGCTTTATCATTCTTCATATCATGCTCAACCTCATTCAATAATTGAGTGGTAACGCTTTTATGAGTAAAATCGTTGGACTGAGTAAACTGACAAAGTAGTGATATTGCAGCGGATTGTGGCTTAACTGGTTTGAACTTAATATAATTCATGAGAAAATTATCCCGTCATACAATGAAGATACTTTAAACCAGGAACATTAAACCAGGAACATTAAAGAGCAGTAAATAATTTGCGGATCCAGGGTGTTAGCCAGAAGTAAAAAAAATCCGCGTTTACCTGAAATTGGGAAATTTATTTTAGCCTGAAGCCGGGCATTTCTTTGTGGGTCTGGGGGCATGCGGTTGCCCCCTCTCGACTTTTAAATTTTTTGTCTTTGAAATGGCATTTCCCGCATTTTGTGAGTAATTTTGGGCAAATGTAGTTATAAACATGTTTTTAATGGCGTATTAACAATATATTGACGGCAAGATACGGTACTGCATGGTCTATTATCAGATGTAAAAAAATAATTGAATTTCTATAACTATTTTTTGGCTGACCAAAATTGGGAAATTGCGACCTCAAGGTATAATTGGGAAAACCGCGTTTAACGCGGAATTTTTTACTGTAACCAACACCCTGTAGCCTACGGTGTAGACTACACCGTAGGCTAACACCCTGCGGATCCACTACAGGATCAGTAAAATTTACGGACACTTTTTGAACTAGCCTGTTGGACTGAAAAACTTCGTTAATTGGGAAAATTACATATAAATTCAAAACCTCTGCTTTTTTCCTAAACAGAAAGTAAGATGTGGTACTTGAAATCGAGTGCTTTTTATATAGTGCAGGGGCCTGTTGTCCAAAGCTGGATAATTAGCGCTAACTATCGGTTAAAATTTAACCTGCTGTTTTAGTTTATGTATTTCTGCACGTCTGTTTATTTCAAAAGTTCAGAGAAGAAAAGTTCTACTGATCCAGACAAGATTTCTAAAGAAATATTTCTAAATTTGTAAACAAGCTGTTGGGAAGTTTGCCTTGCATAATTTTAGGTTAACCTATAAGCTAATCGGCTTTCGAATAACCAGCCCCAGAACTATTCCAGGAATTCCAATGAGATTTATTTCTAGGATTGGATAAAAAAAACTATAAAACTTGAAATATAATCGTAGAACAGAAAAGTCAACGATTGAAACAATATCAAGTTCGCTCAATTTCGGCCATATAATAAAACTATTTAAGTACACAAACTTGAAATCCGACGCAGTCCTGATGTTAAATAGCACCTTTCTACTTTACTTAGGCATTGCTAGCGAATCCAGTATTAGAAAATGCGATTAATAAAGAAGCAGCCTCCGAGTGTCGGGATAACATTGGAGTCTACCGTGAGACGGTCATGAACTGTGTGTTGACAAGCAAACGACTGGACGGTAAGAAGTTGATATCAACAGAGGTTCAGTTTTTGACTACCGTTACCTCCTACTGGCTAATTCCGTACCCATCTCATTAGTTATTGCTGGCGGTAGTGGAAGTCAAATCTGAACCTCTCTACTGATTGAAATAGTTGAAGTAATATTTCAAATCCGACTATGAGGACTGGACTAGATTTCAAGTTCGCGCAATTTGATCAAGCCCGAGGCGTGAGGCCGAGGACTGGATCAAAATGCGATGACTTGAAATCTAGCCCAGTTCGAGGATTTGAAATGACATCTCATACGAATACATCACTACTTAAAGTGAGATGAATTAATTTTGATCCAGTCCAAGGACATTCTCGTCCCCAGAACCATTTTCACTCGGTCACTCGTTCGGAAAATTAGGCTCTGGATTAGACGACTAAAGGAAGAGATCTGATTGGCTTTTCAGAGAACTGCTATTTCGCAGAAGTTGAGGAGTTTTCGCTAGGCAAAATTATTCTATCAACATATGTCAACACAAATACTTCGCTTCTTCGTAATACTTCACTGTGAAAATTGTTACGGGTGCTAAAGCGTCCCAATTCAAGAGCATGCCCTTTAGAAACTACTGCAAGTTTTCTTGCACTTCCGGTTCGGTGTGTCCCAGGGCCTAGGAAGGACGCGCGCGACCGGGAGGCCCTGGGGACGAGGATGGTCCAAGGACTGAATTAATTTTGATCCAGTCCTAGGACTGGATCAATATACTTCAACAGGTATCCAGTATTATCTGCATGCATGAGAGCAAAATAAAGCAATATGATTGCAGCTAATTTACTCATTAATTATTAATGATTTGAGATGCCATCAATACATTTACATACATTACTGTTTATTGGAACATATACATATAGTAGGTATACAAACGAAACACATATTATGCAAATTAAAATAATCAAAACTGATGTCCGAATACTATTGGGCAATGTTGCCACAAGTAAAAACCACGAAGTCTTCTGCAAGCAATTGTTTTGAAATTAGTTATTCCTAACAATATATATTACATCTCGAACAAATTGATTTAAAAATCCGTAGTCATCATCTAAAACAGTACATCTTTGCATTCAAACTTGAGCCAGCTCCTGTATCAATATGCTCCAATTATTCGGATTTAAAACGATCTTTTATTAGTCGTTTTCTTACCCAATTACACATGGATCTCGGTACTTTGCTGATTCCGAGTGTTAATGGATGACCTTGTACTGTATTTCTCAACATTGTATTTTTGGAAATGAAAGAGAAAATATCATCCAATGTTCATCCGTCTGTTACTTAGCTTTTTATTTCCATTCGTGTGTTACTTTCTCTTGAGTATATCTAAAATGTATTTCACTGTTTTCACTTAGCCTTGCTTCTGATTGAAAAAATAATGGTGCATGATGGGAATGTTTAAGGCTCAAATTTCAGGGTACCAGGGTTTTTTTCAGGGATTTTTTAGGGCCGTTAAACGGCCCCAATTATTACTCAATCTTGAATTGAGTTTTGAAACTCAATCTTCTCACCAAAGTTTCTGTGCAGTAAAAATGAAGTTGTTTGAGTTAAATTCATGACGTGTGGAAATTAGTTTTCAGTTTGAAACCCAACAATTAAGAAAAAATGGCTGGAATTCATCTCACAACACAAGAAAAACTATGCATTCGCCATCCTTAACTAGTTTGTAGTGTCCCTTAGTGCCCCTGCTTTAACACATTCCGTCTCAACTACATTTATTGAGTACAAGTGTCAACCCCCCGGTAGGGGGGGGGTACAGCCACCCCAGCTGTTCAGCTAAACTCAATCTTCTCTGCAAAAACGGACCCAAGAGAAAATCCTGAAAAAAAACCTGGGTACGAGTCAGGCCTTGCTTGGTATCACTGTGTTGGTATTACTGTGTTGGTATTTAGGTCCGTGGTTAATGAAAATTAGGTCCGTGCTGCGGAAGATTCCGTTTGCTCGTACAGGCCGGGTTTCAAGATCAATAGCGATAAACGGACCAATTCCGCCCTCTATAGCACAATATATGTAGCTACCACCATTGAATTATTTTTTGTCTGTATGTTTAGCTAACCTTCCACCAAGTTCAATTCAAGAGCACACAAGTCCTATCGTAGAATTCAGTGGAGAAGAAGGCCAAAAGCCCCATAAAAACTTACTTCATGCGAGCAAGGTCTCATTCGAAAACTATTTGACATTATGGAAGGGCATTGCAACATCGAATTCTTCAACATCTTCGTTAAATGCGTTGGGCGAGTACTTAAAAACAGATCATCAACTGCAAAAGGCTCATTTTGAGTTATCTCCAGCTGATGTCGAGCAGGAAGTACGTATTCAGCTGGCAGAACACAGGAAATTGATGTATGGGACGTTTGATGGGAAAGACGAAAAATATGCAGACAGTGTTGGCAGTCCCAGATCTAGTCCTACTAGAGTTCACACATTGAGGCATGTTTATGTCGCTAAACCAAGTAAGTCAAACATTTACCTTCGCGTTGTTCATACTGGATCTTCTGTCAATTAATAAATGTTGCCCCTGTAGACAACAGTACCCGAACATTTTGCCGAAAGACATTTTGCCGAAAGATATTTTGCCGAACGGGCCGGCATTTTGCCGAATGGGCAATTTAACGAACGGATTTTTTGCTGAATGGACAATTTGCCGATAAGACATTTTGCCGAATGTTATTTTGTCAACATAAACTTGTCCAAATTGTTTGAGACGATGACTCATTCCTCAGGTCTGAAAAGAAATCAACTATGCGTGACCCGCAAATCAAGTCTTTCACGTTTATCATCTTCGTTTCAGGTTGGTTTTAATTATTGTCCTAAACCTGACGGTATTTCCTCGAACGCTAACAAATTCTTCGTACTTCTGACTTTCGATTGGGACGATTTTTTGAACTCGAGATAACAGCTCGTCGGTATTTTCCTGACCGAAAAAAGAAGCTATATAAGGTCAGAAATTAATAGACCTAAGAAATCCTAAGAAATCGTCTATTTCTCACGTATAAACAGAGTTATAGGTATTTTCCACGTGTAAACAGAGTTTTAGGTACAATATAGGAGAACATTAAGAGTATTGTAAAGTGTTTTCAGAAGAGTTTCCGCTACTCACAAGTGCTTAAGGGCGCAAAAAAATGAGGTGCTCAACCATCTCAAAGGTGTCCAACTATTTATGGTTTCGAAATTTGCGTCACCGACGGTCGTCCTCTAGTTACCGTCTCTCTGTGGAATGTGCACGGTCGCAACGAGTAAGATCTTCCGCGAACAAACAACTATCATTCGTTCGAAATTTGAGTTATCATTAAACACCGGACGATCCGTCGATTAGCCGCGAACATTGGCGTACGAGGCTGGGGGGGGGGGCTGCAGCCCCCCTCCTCCCAATTTCTGCCAAATAGGGCAAAGTCGGGCAATTTTTGGTTCACCGTCGGGCGAATAAAATTGGAGGTGCCTGAGGAATGAGTCATCGTCTCAAACAATTTGGACAAGTTTATGTTGACGAAATAACATTCGGCAAAATGTCTTATCGGCAAATTGTCCATTCCACGTCGTAGATCTTAAGCTATCTAATACCATATGATTGGAGGAAACTGATTATCCGTGAAAAATATCGTGGTGTTTGATAGAGTCAGAGCAGTGAAATGATTATAACTGGAACGCTACCTCCAAAATTTGAAGCCAAACTTGAAGGCCAGTCTCTTCATGCACGCGAAGAGCACGGTCAGTCCGTCAACATGGAATATATATTCTTGAAAAACGACTTTTAACAGCGCTGAAAAATTTCTATTTTAAATGCGTTTATTCAGGTAAAACTTCCTAGTAGACTTTACTTTTTGTTTTTTCTTATTAAACCGGCATGCTCGCTCCCTGAACTGGTCTCGCGAGAGAATTGCGAGGCATAAACACGCGGGTCTTGCATGACCCCCAGACACGTGTCTGATTTGGCTTCAAGAAAAAGGTAGGCGGTAGGCAGTTTATCTGAAGGTAGCGTAACTTGGCCACCACCTTTGAAGCCACTCATGATGGCCGCTATGTACGTATGGAGTGGAAAATACGCCACCGAAAGGAAGTCTGTTTTTGAGCACTAAGTAGCTGTATTTCAACAAGGAAAGAGGCTAAAAACTTTCAACAATACCTGAAATTTGATACAAAACATGTTTCCAGAAAGTAGAGCAGTTTTAAAGTTATTTTTTCGGGAGTCAAAGTGCGAAGTTTTTTTCGACACGTTCAAATTTGTGTAAAATTTTGAATATCAAGCTGTTACCCAGGACGTTTTTGCTGTTAGTGGATGTAAAATACTTAGAACTATCCAGGAAACCAGTTTTGAATCTTTAAAGTTGAAGCCTTTTGACAAAAAAGTGTTTTTTCTTGCTGATTTTCGCTCAAAAACAAACTTTTGACCGAATTTCCCGCTCCTCGAAACTCTCCTTAGTCCTTTTGAAAGTTAATTTTTTGCTCGCCGAGCCTCGCGAGAAGCGCCATCTTGGCTTCAGGCAAGTATGGGCATGTTTATCTGCAGTTAGCGTTCCAGTGTTATTACAGTTCACTGATAAATTCATGCACATCATTCATCATCGCCATTTTGATAGCTCCGCCTCAAGGAGGCCAGGCATCTTTGTCGTAACAGTTGGTGCCGCAGAAACGTTAACGGAATGTTTCAAAACGTTTTCAGATGAGCATACTTACATTTTCTGTATTTAATACATAGTCCGTTCTTTTAATGTAGGTACAGCAGAAACATCTACACCTGAATCAACTGCACAAAATGATGATTTGGATGACCTTGATAGAGAAGCGGTCGACTTAGTTAACTGGAGCAGAAATTTATCAACCGAGCAAACGTATTATTGATGAACTAAGGGCGTGACATCGCCTCATGGAAACAGTTCTATGTTTGAGGAAAAACTCCGGTTATTAGAAATTCTGAAACACCCGAATCGTCGCATTCAATATTTTCAGATGTTTGCAGTATCTGTGCCAAACACCGATACTCCATCTTGTAAGGACAGTGGTCTGCACATCTATCCATATATCCACTCGTTCCATTATTCTACGTGATTAATCCAAAGAGCTATTATTATACATATTAATGTTGAACCGATTACCAATCATGCAGTGTCACTCAAGTTGAGTAGTGTTGAAATTAAATGCACAGTAATCAGAATAAAAATCGAGTATAACGTGGACAAATATAAAAGTGGAAGCTTGGAACTTTGAAACCAATGTTGAAAGGTTAGCAGAAGGATCAAGATGGAAAGAAATTTAAGTTTGGACTTAAAATACGTCTTTGGAAGGTGGAAACGTCGCTATTGCAGTTCTACTTTTATTTGTGCTCTATTATTTGTAATTTAATATTCCTCAAAAAAGCAGGTACATGTCAATTTTGACACAAACTCTAACAGTATCAAAATAAGGGATTGGTGTTTTAAAGAAAGATTAAAAGATGATGAAACTTCAGAAAATTGTAGTTTCAAAAGAATGGTGCAAATTTGAAAAAAATTATTAACCTAACTTAACTTTAACTTTACAACCTTTTTTTCATGAACAAAGACTAGATATTAAATTTTTAAAGAATATCCACATAGCTATATACGAAGGAAAGGAATAAAGCCGAAGGTCTATAGTCAACAGGACAAGAATCTGCATAATATATAATACATGTTCGTGAATCAGTGAACATGTTTTTGTGAGCTCCGTTTATTTTATATTTTTTTACTCAATATCCACATTTAATCTTATCCACATTTTAATATGTTGATACACGATGGTGATACCTATCTTTGGACCGGTTCCTTGGCCGACTTAAAGTGCTTTGTTGATGAAATTTTAAATCTTAAAGGGAAGTGGAGCTCTCCAGGAGGCGAAGCGAAGCTGTTTTGTGCTACAAAGCCTGACTTTGTTATTAAATGGTTTGGCTGGCGGTCCCAGAAACTTGTGATTCAAGTAGACAGTGCTGAGAACTTTTTAACACAGAAGTTTGAGAGCTTGGTGAACAAGAGTAAAGGAAACAAAGCTGATAGCAAGAATGGTACTGATGGAGTGTTGTTAGCGATGGCGATACAGCGCATCCTGCTGTCCTGGAGGTATGTAAATGTTCCTGCTCTGTTGATCTAGAGGGCTTGAAGCTTGAAATAACAATTTTAGAATCGCGATTATTTGCCGCAATTTCCAAAAATGAGCTTGAGTCAGATATTGATTTGCTCAGAGTTAAACAGAAAGAATCGGAAGCCGCTATAAGACGCCAAGACGATGTGATTTGTACTCTTAACGAAGAGAATCAATTCCTTAAAGCAAGGCTGTTGGCTCTTGAAGAGTCGTTTCTCAAGATAACTTATAATGTCAATAAAGACAAAGAACCTGGCTTATCAGTTTACAAAGCTAAAAGTATTGACAAAGCGGCCGCTTTTCATGCCAGTGAACAATCTAACAAAAGTAACCTCAGCTCAATTAACACTGAATTACTTAATACCTCTCATGGCAATAGTCTTGCTCGGCATAATAACAACGGACAATGCAATGCCGATGATTTGAATAATAATCAAATTGACTTTGCAAATGATGATGCTGTGTTTTCCTCAAAACAGCAGAATGAAAATAATACACACAAAGGCATAAATTCGAACTTGCAATCCGAATCGCAGCAGTCAACCAACATAGAAGGGAATAAACTTAGATATGATCTGTCCCCAAAAACCTCTCATGACAATAGCCGTATTAGTTACGATCCATCTCTAAAAACCTCTCATCACAATAGCCTTATTCGGCATATTCGGCTGATATTCTTTAAGTGCAATGGCGGATGGTCATGCAATGTATAGCTCTGTTATAAATACGCTTTTACCGGATAATAATCATCTCACTGACACAAATAGTGATTTGGCTAAAGATCTTAGTTCTACACGAACGATTAATGATGAAATAACTGCCTTGGCTATGAAGAATCTGAAGTTATCTTGGGCTGGTGATTTCGAATCTTTAAAACGTGTTGTTAGTGATTATATAAAATTTGACGGGAGATGGACTTCGCCCGGAGGAGAGAAGAAAGTTTGCAGTAATCCAGATACATCTATCACCTGGTGGAAAAATAAAAAGTTCCTTCTGGTTGAAGGTAATCAAGCTGAAAGGATAATTGAACTATTTATTGTAATTTTAACGAATATCGCTTCGTTTCGCCCTTCAGATCGGCCGGGTAATATAAACATAGATCTCCCGAATTCAGATAAAATTAATCTTGTTAGTTCCTGTTCGTGCAAATGTAACAATTTGACTGTTGATATCGAAGGAATAAAACTAGATAACGTGGTTCTTGAGTCGAGGATGGAACATAAAACCAATACTAACACTGAAATTATCAATAATGTACAACAAGAGTTGCTTAAGTTGCAGAGTAAATGTGACATGTTAGCAGATCGAGTGGGGAATATAGAGAGCTCAAACGATGAGCGAGACAGTGATACTATCGCTAGTTTGGAACGCCAAAATAAATTTCTTGTTGAGGAGGTGAAAACCTTAAATTTTAAGTTGGAAAATCTCGAGAAGAAGGCAAAAGCTGAGAACGCAAAAGCTGAGAACGCAATTAATATTCATGCTAATGATATTTCCTCTCCTAAAACCACCCATGTGAATAATGAAATGCATGTTATGAGTATAAGTAACCTTATTCCCTCTCCTAAAACCACCCATGTGAACAATGAAATGCATGTTATGAGTATAAGTAACCTTATTGTTGATGACTCTGAAGAAATTAGCATTGTTTCTAGCGTTAATGACCCGTACCACACTAATGTTGGTCACAATACGTGTAATGGAAATCAACCGAGTGGCTCTTTACCTAAGGAACCTTGTTATCCACATGAGTCTAATCAACAACAAAGTATTCCAGTTCGTATTACCTCAATTAGGAAATCAAAACAAACCCGTAAAAAAGTTAACTTGAGACAAACAGAGCTCAACCGTTCAAATACGGTTTATAGCGTGGAAAGTTGTGTATCTACACAGGGGAGTAAACAATCAAGATCATCCGACAAAAACAAAAGTCATAACAATCACAGAAAAACTAACAATGAGGGTTTTTGTACGGGTCTCTCGATGAGAGACAAAATAGGATGGTTCAACTTTTATTACTGAGTCCCGAAACATTGGAAACTTCTACCACGGTAAACTTTACCGGTGTGAATTATAATAATTTAATTAATATTCCCTTGACTGAATCGTTAAGAAACCAAAATGATGCTGACGTAATGCCAAAGAAACTAACTTGTCTCAGATTTGCTTGTGTTAATTCGCGCTCTGTAAGGAACAAGATCGCCGTTATCATTGATCATATGGTTGATAGCGGTATTGATATATGTACTATCACTGAAACGTGGTTGAAGGAATGTGACTCTGTCAGCATTGCTGGACTATCTACTGCAGGATTTGTGTTTAGATCTTTCCCAAGACAGTCTGGTAGAAGTGGTGGCGGCACGGGTATTCTGTGCAAAGAATCGTTAAATGTAAAATCCAGTGACTGTGGGGAATTTAATTCGTTTGAATTCTCGGAGTGGAATGTTTGTGTGCACAAGCAAACCATTAAAGTGGTGACAATCTATCGACCTCCCTACTCGGAAGATCACCCGGTTTCATCAAATGTGTTTTTCGAAGAGTTTTCATCATACTTGGAGAACATCGTTATGATTCCCGAAGTACTCTTGATTACAGGTGATTTTAATTTTCACGTTGATTGTCCAACCGAAGCAGACGCGAAAAAGTTTGCGGACTTAATGAATACTTTTGGACTTATCCAACATGTTCATGTCCCAACTCATTCATCAGGTCATACCCTTGATTTGATTATCACTAGATCAATTAATGATGTCACAATCACCTCTCCTTTGGCGACGTTTGCTTTGTCTGATCATTTTTTTGTTGAATGTTTGTTGGATATTCCTCGCCCAAACATCCTAGTTAAAGAAGTTTGCTATCGCAAAGTTAAACATATTGACCTCAATGCCTTTAAAGCTGATATATGCGCCTCAAATCTATTTCAGAAAACTTGGTCAAGTGTTAATGATATGTCAAAATGCTATGATGTTACCCTACGTTCTATTCTCGATAAGCATGCTCCTTTGAAATCGAAAATTATGACTGTTCGACCAATGGTTCCTTGGTTTAATGATAGTTTAAAGAAGCTGAAAGCTAAACGTAGGAAACTGGAAAGAATCATGCTTAAATCGAAACTTGAATGTGATAAGAATGCTTATCGTAAGGTACGCGATGACTACAGTGCTATATTGAATGACACCAGAAAAATGTTTTATTCCAATCTTATTGACAAATCTGCTGGTGATTCTAGAAAATTATTCCAAATTGTGAACTCTTTGAGCAAAGAACGTCTAGTTGAGGAGTTTCCTGAAAAGCGCGATCCTTCCATCCTTGCTAACGAGTTTGGTGAGTTCTTTTGTAAGAAAATTGAACTCGTGAAATCAAAGATTGACGAGATTTCCATTAACCCACCTAATGTTCCATTTCATCTGCCTGAAGTGAAATTGGATGAATTTTCTTCGGTTTCTGACGATGAAGTTCGGAGGATTATTCTTGAATCTTCGAATGCTTCCAGTAGGTTGGACCCTATTCCTACATCATTGGTTAAACTCTGTTGTCATGAATTGGCCCCAATCATCGCTGAAATCATTAATCTCTCTTTCTCTGAAGGAATTGTACCCGATCATTGGAAAATAGCGCTAGTTCTACCTCTTTTGAAGAAATTTGGACTTGATTTTATGTTTGAAAACTTCAGACCTATAAGCAACCTGCCATTTGTTGCCAAGTCTGCTGAGAAGGCAACGATCTCTCAGTTATCTATACATTGTGCTGAAAATGCCCCTTTTCCCGAGTATCAATCAGCGTATCGGAAAAATCACTCCACAGAAACAGCTTTACTAAAAGTCCAGAACGACATTCTCCTCAGTATGGATCAGCAGGAGGTTACGCTTCTTGTGCTTATCGACCTAAGTGCCGCATTTGATACTATCGACCATGCTATCTTACTGGAGACACTTGAAAAAGACTTTGGCGTAACTGGAAATGCCCTCAAATGGCTAACATCTTATTTATCCGAGAGAAAACAAACAATTTTAATTAAAGACCATGAATCGGAAGTTTTCAATCTTCAATCGGGAGTTCCGCAGGGTAGCTGCCTTGGCCCTGTCCTCTTCATACTCTATGTGGCTGGGTTATTTAAGGTTATTGACAAACATCTTCCCAATGCACATACGTATGCAGATGACACAAAGATTTATCATTCGTTTCGGCCGGATACATCTTTATCACAAGATGCTGCACTAAAGAGTATTGAAAACTGTGTTGCTGACATTCGTGCCTGGATGCTTTCTAACCGTCTCTTGATAAATGATTCCAAGACTGAATTTATTATCATCGGTTCAAAGCAGCAAATGTCAAAGATTAACATCAATGAAATTAAAGTTGGTGAATCTACGATCGAGCCTGTGGAGGTGGTTCAAAGCCTCGGAATGTGGTTTGACTCACATATGTCGATGGATATTCACATCGGAAAAGTGTGTAGTAAGGCGTTTCGCAGCCTCTATAATATCCGGCAGATAAGGAAATTCCTTTCAGAAGATACAACAAATATTTTGGTTCATGCTTTTGTTACTTCACACCTGGACTACTGTAACTCACTGTTTTATGGTCTGCCACAGTCTCAATATGATAGGTTACAAAGAGTTCTCAATGCTGCAGCACGTGTGGTCTGTTTAATCCCCAAATTCGATCATATTACTCCCGTTTTGATTGGCCTTCATTGGCTTCCTGTACGGTATCGGGTGATTTTCAAGATTTTGTTGCTGGTGTACAAGGCTCTTCATGCTAATGCACCGCCTTATATTTCAGACCTTCTGACACCTAAGCATATTGGTTGCTACAGCCTGCGCTCGAATGAGCAAAATTTGCTAATAGTTCCTAAGACAATGAGGAAAACGTTTGGCGACAGAGCTTTTGCCAAGGCTGGTCCATTTTTGTGGAATAAACTTCCCGCTGACATTCGTGAAGCGTCAACAGTGGAAACTTTTAAAAGCAGACTTAAGACCTTTCTTTTTAGAAAGGCATTTTATCTTTAAATATAATAGTAAATTTGAACTTCTCGCTGACATTCGTGAGGCGTCAACAGTAGAAACTTTTAAAAACAGACTTAAGACCTTTCTTTTTAAAAAAGGCATTTTATCTTTAAATATAATAGTAAATTTTAAACATGTATATAGGTATCATCTCATACTTTATAACATTTTATTTGAATTTGTAATGATAGCGCTTTAGAATATTTATAGTTTTAGCGCTTTATAAATTAATAAATTATTATTAAATTATTATTAAATTCTTGCCTCTGTGGGGACACCGAAAAGGTGTCAGTTAACACTGATTTTAGTGTTAATTTACACCTCTCCAGTGTAAATAGTTGTGTCTGTATGAACACCCATTTGGTGTTAATTTGCACCATCCTAGGTTATTTGACGCTGCTTTGGTGTAAATCCGCTTGCCTCTGTGGGGACACCAATTTGGTGTTTATTTACGCCGACAGGGTAAACTTACACTATCCTAGGTTATTTAAGGCTGCTTTGGTGTAAATCTGCTTGCCTCTGTGGGGACACCAATTTGGTGTTTGTTTACATTAAGAAAGTAAATTTACACTATCCTGGGTTACTTAAAGGGGAAGTCAGAGTTCAGAACAACTTAGGCTGATATGAAAGATCATATAATGCTTACCTTTCACGCAAAGTCCCACATCTCCAAGTTATAACCAAGTCGAGAAATAAAGCGATAAATGTGCTAAAATTTACATATAACGCAGCCGCCATTTTGTACATCACAGCGAAGCTGCGATCACACAGCGGTTTTAGATTGTGACGTCATTGCGCGGTTGGCTTTTACAGGCACATGTAAACAAAGATGAAATAGTATTTATAAATTTAAGAACAAAAATACTGTATGAAGAGAAATGGATATTGATTACTCAAACGAATCTTCGACCGATGGTTCTGGAAGCAGTGGATCGAGTTATAGCGAAGATATGAACGTCGAAAGAGACGTAACATGATTCAACCTCACGCGTTTGAACAAAATGGCTTCGGAATCTTCGTCAAGTTCTTGACAAAACCACCATACTTCAGGACACGAACTGGTAATTATTTACTAAATTTGCTTCTATTATTTATGTTGTAGATATGTAGGTTAAGTTTTTTCAGCAACATGCACAACTATACATTATTATGGGCAGCATTATTATACATTATTATTATGTTTGTACTTCAAATAAAGGTAAAAAATGTATTAAAAACTTTATTATGTAATATACTAATATTTACATTGAATTTCGTGGTTGAAGTTGAACCAACTATGGCTAAAAATTGTAAATTCGACTGCTATGCTTTAGCCCAAATTAACTTGGTTTAGCCCAAATTAACTTATGATTAAATTGGAACTTGGCTTTATGCATGTAGGTGCCTTTGTACTCACTGCCAAATAATGGATAGGGAAGAAGAAAGTATTTGCTGCCAAGAGATTCCAGCTTGTGTTTCTATAAACCAAGAAGCAGCACAAATTGAGGAGATACCTGTCCCAGAATGTATTACTGATAACCCTGCATTTCATTATTTATGTCTAAATTATTGGGTCTTACAGGTTGCTAATTGGAGCGATTATAGACAACATTATGGCATAAAGGCACATGAATGGCCTGAGGATATATTAGGCAAAGAGATAAGGGTCCCCTTGCCATCTTGTGCAGTTAGTTGCATTCGAGCACACTTTCCACCACCAGGTTTAGAAGAGGACTTTGTTTTTGAGGGTTTTAAATTTGCAGATGAGTAATTAAATATGTGATAGGGGTTTTCATTTCTTACTTTCTGTATATTATTGTAATATTGCTATTTGGCTTGCTATATATATTTATTAACATTATTTTCAACCTACAGTAATCTGCTTGTTTTGTTTTGTCAAGTAATATTTTCAAATTACAATTAATTACAATACATTATGTAATATTTACAACTATCTTGTTCCCTTCCATTAAGAAAGTTGAGAGAACTAAGATTTCCAGCTACTAAATGTGGTCATATGCTGTAACCTAATTTGCCTCTCCCACCCCCCATTTTTTCACAAAGTGTCCGCCACTGGGTTGAGCCGCAATGTCCTACTTTGTTATTTTACTCTGTCTACTGTTATGCCAATTTACACATCACAGAGAAGTGTAGGAGAAGCATTAGTATAGGTAATCATGCGATAGCGAGTACAATTAGGGATTAATAGTACGAGTGATGTTTGGAAATTTTGCCAAAATTGGACGAGCCGCCGGGGCGAGTCCAATTTTGGCAAATTTCCAAACATCACGAGTAATATATTAATCCCTAATTGTACGAGCAACATCGCATGATTACTTGTTTATTATTAGCATGACAAAACTGAATACGTATACTTCTCAATGTCAACATCATATTCTCTCGCCAAAGCCCAGTTCTGCCAGACTTTCAACCAAAATTTGGTGTTTTTGTTTGTATTTTCATTTAGTTCTTTTGTTAAAGCAAAATTTGGTGCTTTTGTTCGTATTTTCATCTAGTTCCTTCACGGCAATTTCATTTCAATCTGTGTTTAAAATCCCTTTCCGCCATTTTGCTTGTTTTGGGAAAATCATTAATTGTACTGCAGTACAATTAATGAAATAATTGTACTCCTCTCAACCAATCAGCATCCAGTAATTTTGTCATGCTAATAATAAATGTGTTAAGCAGATTTATATGCATATTCTCTTGTAAACTGATTTAGCTTGCATGTACTCTACTTTGTTATTTTACTTTGTCTAATATAAGGCAATTTTACTAAATGGGGGGAGCATTGGGTGTCAATGGGTTAACCAGACTTCCTGCTCATAGTCTCTGGTGAAACCATTTAGCCATAAATTAATGCACCCTACTTTGATATTTCACTCTATCTACAGTAATGCCAGAATAGTTAACATTATAAGGAGAATTGTTGGGAACTGTGATTGTTTTAAACCAGATTAATTATCTAGACCCAATGCCTAAAATAAGGAGACAACTAATTGGATAAAGTTTCCCAAAGAATGAAGCAGACTCTTTTTTCTTAGAACAATAACACTTTTAAATGGAGGGGAACAAGATAGTTGTAAATATTACATAATGTATTATAATTAGTTATAATTAGAAAATATTACTTGACAAAACAAAACAAGCAGATTACTGTAGGTTGAAAACAATGTTAATAAATAAATATAGCAAGCCAAATAGCAATATTACAATAATATACAGAAAGTAAGAAATGAAAACCCCTATCACATATTTAATTACTCATCTGCAAATTTAAAACCCTCAAAAACAAAATCCTCTTCTAAACCTGGTGGTGGGAAGTGTGCTCGAATACAACTAACTGCACAAGATGGCAAGGGGACCCTTATCTCTCTGCCTAATATATCCTCAGGCCCTTCATGTGCTTTTATGCCACAATGTTGTCTATAATCGCTCCAAGCAACCTGTAAGACCCAATAATTTAGACATAAATACTGAAATGCAGGGTTATCAGTAATACATTCTGGGACAGGTATCTCCTCAATTTGGGCTGCTTCTTGGTTTATAGAAACACAAGCCGGAATCTCTTGGCAGCAAATACTTTCTTCTTCCCTATCCATTATTTGGCAGTGAGTACAAAGGCACCTACATGCATAAAGCCAAGTTCCAATTTAATCATAAGTTAATTTGGGCTAAACCAAGTTAATTTGGGCTAAAGCATAGCAGTTGAATTTACAGTTTTTAGCCATAGTTGGTTCAACTTCAACCACGAAATTCAATGTAAATATTAGTATTTTACATAATAAAGTTTTTAATACATTTTTTACCTTTATTTGAAGTACAAACATAATAATAATGTATAATAATGCTGCCCATAATAATGTATAGTTGTGCATGTTGCTGAAAAAACTTAACCTACATATGTACAACATAAATAATAGAAGCAAATTTAGTAAATAATTACCAGTTCGTGTCCTGAAGTCTGGTGGTTTTGTCAAGAACTTGACGAAGATTCCGAAGCCATTTGGTTCAAACCACTGATCTAATAGTAGACTGGATATAGCTTCTCTAGGTGTGAAAAGTGAAGCCAAATTATATATGCGAAAATCACTTCCGGGGACCACGGAGTGATACAAATTACTATAGAAATGTATGGCGAACAACGTGAACCAAGCTGAA